ACGACGATCCGAACGGAGGCGCGGCCCCATAACCGTAACGAGGAAAGGTATTGTTGGAGGGGTGGGGGTCGGGTTTGTCTTTGCGATCTCGCTACCCTTGGTAAACGATGTGTGGTGTGGCGCTCTCCACCGGGAGGGTGCGTGCGAGAAACCGCGGTGTAACAAAAATCTAACCCACGAAGCGATTTGCATAAGCCCTTGATTACGGCTACGGCGGGGGGAAGGGGGAGGTTTCACCTCTCGGCCCTTTGCAAAGGTTCCTTTGATGAAATCCTACGCCTTCTTGATTCTCTTTCCCTCTTAATTGCGATAAAACTACATTCTTATCGAAGGGCATAGAGTAGTAGTTTCATAGGGTGCATCTGCTTTTTCTTCCTTATCATAGAAATTTTCAGATGCTTCACAAAATCTGTATTAACATCATTAGTTTCAATATTTAGTTCTTCATTATCACCATCAAATTCATTCTTCACACGCATAGACCCTCCCCAACACTGTTTGCTTGGATAAGGTGTAGGGTTTGTTGTACAAATAATTGGGTTGCTTCAATAAAAGACTTTCGAAAGGAAAGGATTGATTCTCGTTCTCCACAAGACCCTACCAAATGGAGGATAGCGTTGACATCACCATATTGTTGAAGTTTATCTTCTCCATGCTTTTTTTCTCCGGATGCTGCCTTTTTCTTATTATTTACGAGGGGCGCACATTTGCCACCCTCATTACGATCTTCATGCGTTACTTTGTGCTTTCCAACAAGGTGTTCTTCAGTATTGGCAGTTTCCACCCATATCTGTTGAAGCCGCGGTTTTATTTTAAAGACGTTTCCTTTGTCAACAAGGACTACGCGGTGCGTATCGTTGATGGTTATGTCGTTTTTGCGCTTAACGAGTATATGTGCGGACGCGCCAAATGGACTAGACTCCATGAGTTTATGTTTCATGAAAGTCTCATTGGCCTAGAGTGCTCTGTCAAAATAGACGGTAAACACGTTCTCGGAACGATAGTGGAGATTGACGTACCCGAGCGGAAGCTGGGCATTCGCTTAAATCCACCATCGCCAAATACCACGTTAAATCACGATACGGAAATCCCCCAGTCTTCCAAGCCCGCGCGCACCGAGCGACAGCTCTCGAGGGAGAGATCGACTTCCGAGATCGTGGATGAGATTTCCAACGGACCTTTGCCCTTTTCGGGCGCGAGGGATACGGAGGGGCGGGATCACACCTCAAATGGCAGCGGCATGCCAACGATTCTATCGCTCTCACGGCGGGGTGATGCCAAGGGGAACGATCCCTGCAGCTCTAAACGACGCGGCTCTGATTCCTCGACGACGCAGGTGCACGTGGATGTCCCTTTGGATGCGGCCACGAGCTCCCGCCAGAGCGACACCACAAAAGACTTCGACTCCATCGCGCTGAAGTATTTTGACTTTAAGGATGTCTTCATCTACACCAAGCCTGGGCTTTGCCGTGTTCACGTTAACGGCATGAGCTTTCGGATGTTTAACGCGTCCAAAAAATACCGGGATCTTGCTGAGGCTGCCGGGGCCACCCTGCACTCAGAGGATAGCCGAGGTACTGGCGTGAGGAATGAGAATAGGAGGGCATCCGACTCCTTCAAAGTCAAACCAGCGGAGTTCCGTCAGCTGATGTCAGCCATCCGGCGGTGGTTTAAGTCCGACGTGCCGCCGGTGAATCCGTATTCCAACACCACCAGCCTCAACCTCGCGGCGGCGTTTGAGGCGCAGCAGACCCGACGCGCTACGAAGAACTTCACGCAGCGTTTTTTTAACCTTTTTAGCGCTATCGAGGTGGAGTGTTTTGGTTCGGCGATTAATATTGGTGGGGTGGGGCCGGACTTCCCGTATTTCCTCCGTTTGACTTTCCAGCGCGGTGAGGGGCGACTCTTTTTGACGCGCGACGGCTGCCCGGAGGTGGATCCCTACCGGATCGCCGCGGAGATGACGCTGCAGCAGGTGGATGTTTGCATGGCGAGGATGGATAGCAACGCGAGCGATGGCTCGATTATCGAGAACCCATCGCTCCGTGATCGCGCGCGGATCGTGTTTCGCGGCATCGTGGAGGGTCTGGAGGAGACTGTCAGCCACACGGGGATGGCCGACACCGAGGTGCCGGATTTGATCCGAGGCTTTGGCGTCGCGCTCGATGGGAAAGACAAGAGCAACATCCACCTCCTCGTCTACCACGACGTCCCCAACGTGTACGCGGGGGAGGTGGTTGACGGGGCGACCCTCCCGAAGACCGGGGTCGAGGTCATTATCGACTCCCCTTCCGTCCGATTTAGCCCTTGGCTGATGTACTGCTATACTAAATTGTGGTATTTTTTTAATCCACCCAACTACTGCCCCCTCAAACCACTTGAGTTTGTCATTGGCAAGCCACGGCCGAGTGCCGGGGTGGAGTTTCTGGTGGAGTTTATGCAAAAAACTCGCATCGAGATTCCTTTTAAATGCTGTAAGCCAGCGCCGTCGCCACCGTTTGGGATCACCGACTCGAACAAGAAGGGAATAGTCTGGGCTGAATTAGGGGCCGGTTCACAGTTCATCAAAAAGGCTTCCTTCCTTCTTCCAGGCCAAAAAAAACAAAACTTTGAGACTTTTTTTTCTAGCACGGATATGACCATTTATACCAATGCGGTGCTGGAGCGGGACACCGTGTTTTGCCATTTTGAGAAGGTTCAGTTTTTCCTTGATCGGCAGGACGATCTGCAATGGAATGGAAGGAAGCTGTGGAATATTATACTCAAGCCATCTGGCGCGAAAGTGAATATTTATATGTGCTACATCGATTTCTTCAGGGATTTGATCAACAACTTTTATTACGCAGAGAACCTTTACCACAACGTGCCCTTGACGACGGAGTCCTACAACACCTATGCACGTGTGGTGCGGGATTTCGTCCCAAATGTCAAACAATTCGAGATATTTGCAGACGATGACACCATCGTATCTATCAATGCAAACACACGGAATGTGGTGTATTCGGAAGACCCTAACGACCCCAAAAACAACACGTTTGGCATTCTCAAGGCCAAGACTATAGAGTTTCGATTAGTGCTCCCGAATGATCAATACCAGCTGAGCTACGTTAATGAGATCGAGCGGCCATTTTCACTTTTGCTGGAGGATGTAAAGTTGTATATTAGTCTACCACCGAGTCACCCCTTTTATAAGGAAGTGGATACGGGGTCTCACTTTGGCCACGCCGACACAGTTCAGGTAAAGGGGGCCTATATCGTTAATGTCGAGAATCAGGCTATTCCACAGGGCCGAAATCATATCCTTAAATCCACTGACCGCACCAAGTGCACCAACTACTTGAATATCGCCATCGAAATTCAGAACCTGCGAGGGGCCCTGACAGGGCTCCACATCAAGGTCGTGCTTGATGTGTTAAATAACTTGGTCTTGCAAAACCCCCTGACGATTCGCCCGGATCAGCTGTTTTGGCTCCCGGCGAATCAGGAGTCGCACACGTTGACGTGCCGAAACCGGGAAAGTCAGCTCCGACAGTATCTTGCGAGCAGCTGCCCCAACTGGAATGAACTCGAGGTGTGCGTGGAGCTCCAGTTTATCAACAACGTGCTGTCGCTCACGGCCGGGAAGGCCCCAAACGCCCCTGGGGTAAGCCTTTCCACGAGTTTGGCGTGCCTGACCGTGGTCAAACAGGTCGCGGTCACCGACATCACGTTTACGCTGAACCCCGTCATGGCGCAAATCGCCGAGGACCACGCTGTGAACCCTCACGAGGCCTTCTCCTTCCTCACCTTCGGTCCGGCAAGCCTCAGTGTCATTCGACACTACGGACGCTTGCCGTACAGGCCGATGGTGCACGAGACGTTCGACGTACGCGGGGAGTACGCCGTGTTTGAGCTCTCCTTAAATCATCTCGTTATGCTTCTCACTTTATTCAGCGTGGTAGGGGAGCAGCTTCAGGCTGAAGACGTCACCATGGAGGTTGAGATGGGGAGGGCGCAGCTGGCCGCTGAGTCCTATGAGCATCACGATTGGGGGGACCTCATGGCGAGCAGCCCACCGGGTGACAAACTGAATTGGTTGAAGCTAGCCTCTCCTAACCCAAACGACAATTTTTGCCTGAATGGTCGGGGCCAACCGCCTCCAGATTTTGCCTTTCCACCATTATCTCTCGCCATGAATGCGGCTCAATCCTCACCTGTAGCCGCTAACGCCACAGCTTTCTCGCTTGAACTGGGTGCCATGCAGAATAATAAGCTTAACGGCGTTGTCCCTTTCACCAACGTAAATGGTCGCGGTAGCATCTCCTCCCTCAACGCCGAATCCAATCGGTTGAGTATCAAGGAAGTGAACAGGCAAGCGAGCCATACTAGCGAGAGGTTACACAATAGTGAAAATGGAACTGACAAAGGTGTCTGCGCGACTTTGTCCAGGCTGGATGGTCAAGCACGTGTTGACATGCCAGTAAAATCAAGCATTCCGCCTATCCCCGCGTCTACGGAGTCTCTTAGCCCTACTCTCTCTGGTGCTGTAGATGGGTCATGCCAGCCGGTTATACCTTCCATTCAACAGCCAGGGAATACATTTGTCAGTAGTAGCGATAGCTCTGACGTAGAGTTAGGCAAATCCAGAACCTCCATTACCGGCATTGTGCAAGAGACCCCGTGTGAACTGGGGCAAGAGTTCGAGAAGTTTATGGAGGAAGTCAACCGGGCGGAGGACCACGCTCGAGATTATGGCATCTTCTTTGCGAACTTTTCCATTTCGAAGATTCAGGGTGTGGTACACATTGGGAAGGAAGGTTTGGCGACATTAGATCTTCCATTTGGTATCGCCGCGGCGCGCTCCACTGTAAATGATGGTAATTCAAACAAACGTGCGAGCGCTGCTGCACAGTCCATTCAACTACGCATGCTTACTCCGAGGAATGAAGAATTCAATAAATATGTGATTCCGGTGGATCAATCTGCCATTATAGGTGACTTTGTGGAAGTGTTCTGCATTCAGACATCTTTGTGCTCGCGTTACTACATGGCATACCCCTTCGATGGATCTCTTGCCAATCATCAGCGAAAACAAAGGGCATTCGTAATCTATCACGACTACGAGGATTTGCTGCAGTTCCCACTGCCTATGCCTCCTCCTCCTCCGACCCCTAATGGCGTCAATACTTCACCCAAAGGTTCTCCAGCACGCCGGCAGTCTTCATTGTTGCGTCGGAATCCATTGACGGTAGTGAAGGTTTCGAGCAAGCAACCATCCTTGGATGACGTCCGCAGCAGGAAAAACAGAACTCGGCCAAGTTCTCTGACAATGTTGTGCACCGCTAACTTGCACAGTCCCAGGACGGACACCGCCGAGAAATACGCCCACACAAAAGGGACGCTCTTCTCCGCCGGCAGGCTTAGCTCCCCCAAGGACTCATCCGGGAGCGAACACGATGAAGACTTCTACCCGCACGGTATCGGCTCCTTTGAGGAGCGCTCTGATTTCCGCACCCTCTCCGGGACCCTCACGAGCACGGAGACCAGCGCGCGGCAGGGCGGGGAGACCCCGTCTGAGGGCCTGAACTCACCTCTGGTGAAGCTGCCTATCCCCATGGGGACCTCCAAGACGGATAACACCCCGCCACCGACAGCCTTCTTCGCTACGTGCATCTCAGGAAGCGAGCCCTCGACCTTCAGCGAGGAATCGCTTTACACGAGCACGATAGAGGTCTTCCCTGATCAAAAGGGGTTCCAGACCACATTCTTTTCCACTTCCGCCGGCTCCGACCCTAAACCGCCAACGGATAACTATGTAGCGAACGAACGCGTACCCCTCTACGCTTTTTACAGGACCTACTTCAAAAAGGAGCCTAACGAGAGCGTGTCGATGAGGACGGATTATCGCGCCCAGTTCAGGGAAGAATCCAGCCATTCGGCGCACCCATGTGCCCTTTTTAATGGCCCTGCACCCTCCGTGGATTTTGTTCCCAGCCCCTTTCCAAGCCGCTTTCCCGCCTATTTAACAGCGGAGCGTGTGGCAAAGAGGCAGGTCAACACCCCTCAGGTCTGGCCACTGCGGTGCACTGATCACAGGGAGCGCTCCGAGACGGGGACGACTTCGAAGCACTTGCACGTCGAGGCGCTAGAACCTTTGACAATCCTGGTAACTCCACAGGCAGTTATTCTCGGGGCATCCGCCCTCGCGATCGTGAAGGAATCAATGCTCTTCTGGGGCTTTACGTCCCCAGATTCGTCTTCACAGGGTCCAGTTCCTCCTCCATCGAATTCCCAAGTCCAGCTGAAAAAACATGGGTCGCATATCTTCAGTAAAAATCCCACCAAAAAAAGTCACACACGGACGCAGCAGATGCGGTGGCTAAGCGAGGACTTTATAGTTGACGTGACTGTGCCCTGTATCGAGTTGAAGCTCCTGACGGCGTTGCCATTATCGGAGGAAAATTTACCCAAAGGCTCGAGCGAGACGGAGGGGATGTACTGCAGTACTTTGTGCATATGTGATACCCAATTGGTCTCCTGGCAAAGCTACCCTCCTGTGGGCGTCGAGGCGGACGCGGATAGCTCGCACAAATGGTGTGCCTCTCTTCACATCGCCACCATCTCCGTCATAAGCCAGATTGAGTATGAGCCGATCGCTCGCGACGGTGGGTTGCATATCAAAGTCCCTGGTGTCCTGTATGACATGAGCAAGGACACCATCGCGGTGTTCTACCTCATGCCGTTAGTCGTGCGTGCGAGAAAGTATAAAATTCACGTTCTTAACGGTGGAGTGTGCAGTGTGATGCTCGACAAAGTCTCGGCTCACATCACTCGTGATTTTTTCAGCTACATCAGATCTCTTCGGGAGCTTGCGTATTCACTCGAGCTCAAGATCATGGTGAGGCTGAAGAGCGAATCGGTGCAGTTTCAACCCTTTGCCTCGCCCTACGGTTTTTCGAGCCATGCCTCGTCATTTAGGTCCAAGCCAGGATGCGAAAACGTGCAAAGCAGCGAAATCGTCGCGCCTACGCCCAGCAGTTATCGGTCTCGTCTTTATTTTAACACCGAACAAACGATACAGGGCAAGATCAGCATCGATTCAATCCGCTTGTCCTTCATTGATACCAAGAGGGAGGGGAAGTTTTTTAAAGTCAACCTAGACACCATCAGCAGCGTTCACATCATGCAGATCAAGGGCCGCTTTTCTGTCATGTCTCCACAGCAACGCAACCACAACCGGGTCATTCGAGTATATTGTCTTGGAGGCGTGAGCACGGTTCGTCTTGAGCTCTATCCTATCATTTTGCACGTCTTAAACACCAAAGCATCGTCCTACAGATCTCAGCCAAGTGCTAAACCAACCACCGCTTCTTCTGACGGTGTTTCGAACAGCAAGACTAACTTTCCCACTATGGGGGATTCCAAGACCAGTGACACCAGTGGAGTAGGATTGAGCGCGCTGGGGGGAACGACGAGATGGGGCCGCCTCTTTACAGTAGCATATAGCGCCAGCATCACCCTGCAGACGTTCAGCGTGTGCTTAATGCAATCCAAAATGAACTTCATCGAATTCAAAGGTAACACTCTCACGGGGTTTGTCAGAAAGCAATCTGTTAAGATCAGCTCACGCGAGTGCATCCGGGCGGAGGTCCTCACGGAGATGATCTCAGAGCGACTCAAACGGAAGCTTCGCAGGATGGCCCAACGCGCCCGTGAGAGGGCAGCATGCAGTCGCTACGCCAGCCCCCCTTTAATCTCCGAGCAGCTCAAACTCACCTCTACGGCCTACTTCTTTTTCCAACAGCTCTCTTTTCAGTACATCGCGGATGCGTTCGTGTCCCCCAAGGCCACCTCCAACCCGAGTGACACCACCGCCCCCAACTCTGCCAACACGCAAAAGCGTCAGCAGGACTCCAAGGTGCTGGATGCCTGCATCAACCAGGGCTCCCTCGCTGCGGAGTTCACCGAGCAGTCGAACATCCCCGGCGGCACGCAGCTTAACGTCATCACGCACATCGTGACCATTAGCCTGGACTACCCGTATCGTCCAAGTGCCGTGGAGACGATCGGCCCGCAGGCGCACGTCCTCCTCTCGGAGTGGACGCAGGCCTTGACGTGGCTCTTCGGCCTCGCCCGACAGGCGGAACCGCTGCGGCCGGTAAGAGAAGCCGCCGTTGTCGGCCCCCCAGGGAAGCCCGGGGGGGCGGCCGCGAACGTCGCCCTCACGGTCTGCCTTCAGGCGCGGGAGATGGGGGCGACAGTGGGGCTCTCCCAGTCCATCGCACAGGGTTTTTTGCTGCCGGAGTTCTCGTTGCTCGCGCAGCGCTCGTCGAACGGGTGTGTGAACGCGAAGGCACATGCCCACCCCTTTACCATCACCGCCAAGACTAATGGGGTGGAGAACTACAGCGTGGTGCTGCCGAACCTCTACCTCATCTTCGCTCAGGATAACCTTCGGCTTACCTCAGCTCTTTTGATGGAAAGCATCGCCATGACGGTGACGCCGCTTTTTATTAATCACCTCTTTCTGGCCTATCAACGGTTCACCTCCGAGATCGTCGTCATCTTTTCCAAAACCGTCCCGGCTGAGGAGCTCCACGGGACTGGACGAAAGGCCCGCCGGGCTTCTGGGACGTGTAACCTTGCAACATCCTCCCTAACCGACGCCCCTGTTCGGACGCGGCGACGCAAGGCCTTTTTGTTTCTCCTGCAGAGTGTGCGGGTCTGCTACCTGACGTCGATGTTGAACCTGCGCCTCGCCATCCAGCGGTTGAACATCACCGGTGAGTCCTCAGAGCGGCTCTCCACGAGCACGCTGTTCTGGCTGATCAACGTCACGGGTACGCAGGTCGCCCTAGTGGACCGCGACGATCACGATCAGATGATGGCGGCCGTCAAGACGATCACACAGAATACCAAACCGCAAAATCCAACCACCAAGGTATTGCTCTCGAGCGTGCCGCCCTCACCGTATCATCTTACCAACGCGGTCAATTCCATCCGCATTTCACATCCTCTTGGGGGGTTTATTTGGGGCTCCGCGGAGTTCTCCTTTAGTCTTTGCATCGGCAAGACCGACAGTAACCGGGCGCTGGAGAAGCTCAAAGCCAACGCGTGTTTCAATTCCTACAGTGCGGATCTACAGAAGGCCCTGTTGGACTCCCTAAAGCATTTCTCCTACGAATGGGAGCTGTCTATCTACTCTCCATTGATAATCGTTCGCTTTGGGCTGGTGGACCTGCTGCAGAAGTGCATTCAGGAGACTCAACAGGACATTATCAACATAAGGAGGGCCGAGGAGACAGAGAGCATGCATTACGATAAGCTTTTGAAGAGGAAGAAAACGTTCCGATTACTGCAAGCCCGAAAGAAGCGGTACGAGGCTCTCATTAAGCGGGCCGAAGAGAAGCGCGCGAGCTGCTTGCTCCGCATCACGCAGAGTGTTGAAAAGGACGTGAAGAAACGGCGCATGCCGATCTCCTTCTACGACGCCGAGGAGGAGCAAATGCTGTTGAGCTTTCTCGACATTATCCGGGAGTACAAGTGTGTTGCAACGGTCTTTAACTTTCAGCTCGTCTTGCCCTTCGGAGATGCCGCCTTCCGAAGCGTCTTGGAGAAGTCCAATGACATCTACTCTTGCGGTAAGGTCGAGCGACACATCCACTCGTCGACGTGTCTTGATCGACTAAAGTTCATCCCGACGCTTGCCTTGAAGCTGCGCATTGAGAACACCTCTTTTATCTCGTCCTTTGAGTCCGTGCGGCGGTTCACGCCGGAGGTGAAACAGCCGCAGGAGCTCCACCTTTGGGGCGAAGGCCCCTCGCTGTCGTCCTATACCAGCACGCCGGAGGAGCGGAGTATGCATATCAACTTCACCGGTCGGTTCATGCTGAACGACATGTTTTTCTACATCACGGACGGCACCCCCGCGGAGGGTTCATCAAAGTTGATGAATCTCAGTCATAAGACGACCGTCCTCGGCGGCTTAGGGGAGCTGACGGCGTACGCCCTGGAGGAGTTCCATCGCTCACACAACACCATCTTCATTGCGTGTGTTGAGGCGCCATTTAACGTGGAGCGGAAGCCGGGCATTACGCAAGTCCGGGCGGTGATGGATCTGCTCAGCCCCAAAATTCAGATTTCGCCGCAATTGTTCAGCATCCTGAACGAGCTCGCCAAGGAGTCGCACACAGGATCCCTGCACGACGCGCTACGCACCACCACACCGCCGTCCTCTCATGTGAACCCCGACGCCGCCGACGAGGTCAAGGAGGCGGCGACCAGAAAGTCACGGAGTCGGTCGGGGATCTTCCCACGCAAGAATCGGGCCGATGCCAAAGGTTCGGCGCTTCGCGTCGGCGATGCACCGGATACTTCCATCAAAGACGCGGAAAAGAAAATCCACAAGGTCGAGACGATGGAGACGCATTCCGATTCGGTGTTGAACATCGATGTTAGTGCTCGTTTTGGCGTCGGAAAAATGAGCATCTTCTCCCACACGATCGGCACTGACCCGGTGAAGGCCGACCCCACGTCGAAATCCTACGCTCAGTTCTCCAGGCAGCGAAGGTTTGGCCGGAAGTTCACCACTGTCGTCGATGAATCGCGCACGTTAGATGAGATCTTCGCCAGCAGCAATAGCAACAGCATGACCACCTCGGGCGTCATGCCCTCGGTCAACCACATCTCTTCACCTTACACGGAGGAGTGCAATATGAGCTGCATCCTATCGATTCCTCTCCCGAGTGTTATTGTCGAAGGGGCCATGCGGTCCGGTGGGGCTATGAAGATGCAAAGTTTCGAAACTCTGCGAATCGAGGTCCGTGCGGGGATCATCGTGCTCAGCCCCTGCATCACGGTGATCGCGCAGGAAATTGAGTACTACGTCAAAATACACGGGGATCGGCAGCAGAAGTGTCGCCAAGAAATCTTCTCCCGGGTACAGGCCTTGGAGAAGGAAATGCCGCAGCAGAACACCCGCCTGCATTGCTCGTTGATCGATCTACTTCTGCCCGCTCCGCGCGCCTTTGCCTCGGCGCTGTGGGAGGAGGAGATGCGGAACGCGATTCAGATCCACTGCGCCTCCACGAGGGTCGACCGCCAAGACGCTCTGAAAGGCGCCATTGCCCTCCTGCCGAGGTCGTGGCGGGCGGCGAGGGCGCGGATGACGAGCCCGCCGCCCGCGCCGGAGGGGCAAGGAGGCGCCATAGACGACGAGGAGGGTGCGCGCACCGCCGATTGCGTGGCGAAATCCTTCACCGCGATCCACGTCACGTTGACGAACTTCTGCATTCGTTTCACCACCGAGCCGATCTCCTCGACCGCGCTCACCGTGTTCTTGGATGAATGTGGCAGCATCGACGTAATCCTGAACTTCACCCGTCACCCGAATTCGCCACATTCGCGTTTGGTCCACGATTACTCCGTTTCCTCCGTGATTATCTGCGTTCAGCACCTTCGGGCTGAGGTCCAGAAGAAGCTGGAGGTGAAGTCGCTGGAGGTTTTCCTCTCCGAAGCGGAGGCCACCATAAGTTGGCGGAGCGATACTTCCGATCAGATCAATCACCTCGCGGTTAATTTCCCCTTTAATGCGGAGCAATCAGATCCGGTGTTGGTGGTTCGCATGCAGCATCTTTCCCAGGTGTTCACCGTTCTCCAGCTGTGGACCGTTACGACGAGCTACACGTTGAAAAGGGTGCGAACCCTCTTCGCACGTGGGGCGCCGGCGAATCTTTTCGCGCAGCGGGTGGCGAAAATACCCGTTCCCAAGCTGCTGTGGAGTCGAACAGGGGAGCTGCGCGCGGGCGAGGAGGCGCAGAACGACCGCCAGTATTTCATGGTGCTCTGCATGTCGCACATCTTTTGCCGAATGGATCTCGGCTCCGGCAATTCGCACCAGCTTTTTCTTAGCAAAGCCCATATCGCGGCGGAGTGCGTGAGGCGTGCCGGCGGCAATACGACGTACCTCCTGAACACCCACTTCTCAGCCTTCTCCGTCCGCTCCGAAGGGCTGCTCTCGGGCGTGGCCGGCATCCGGGGTATTAGTTGCCGCGCCTTTTTGATTCGTAATCCGCCAGACGCGGGGCATTTCATGCGCTCGCCCGATGGCCGAACCTTCCGTGCGGCGGTGATTGTCCGGGATGTGAACCTCACCTTCAAGGAGAGGCAACTGAGGGATGTTTTTGAATCCAAAGTCGAAAAAATCGTTTTCGACGCCATGGACGGGGTGGAGGAAGCTGACTGCACCACTGTGAACTTGAACGTTCTCCTGTCCAAGGGGACGCTAGGGATTACGCCGAGCACAATGCCATCTCTTCTTACACTTGTGCTCTCCATCAGCCAAATCATCAGTAACAAGAAGCAGGTCGCGATGAGCGAACTACAGAAACCCTTCCCGAAGCAAGTGGGCTCCACCGTGTCTAGCTTCCGGGAAATAGCAATTGAGATGAACAAGCCTTTCTGGCGGGTCGATTCCTTGGATGCCCGCATTTCCGAGCCCAGGACGTCCGATCGCCTCCCTGCCACTACCGCCGCGACCATGTCGCAGTCGGAGAATCAGAGCAGTAGCATGAGCAACCATCAGCCCCCCATCCCTTTTATGGGGAGTAAGATGTTCTTCCTGCCCTGCGGGCAGATACGCTTCATGATCAAGGAGGTCACCGCCTATTTTTGGACCACGACGACCTTCGACAAGGGGTCAATTGACTGCGTCGTGATGAACTTTCCTGTGGTGCATTTGTCGTACGCGGAGAGCCCCTGCGAGGATTCCACCATCGCCAAGAAAATTCTCATCATCCAGACGCACGATACCGAGATGTACCGCCCGGGCAGCTCGAAGGTGGTCATCCTCGGCCTTAAAGGCGTCAACAGCTTTGAATTCTTCACTCGGCAGGTGATCGGGGAGGCCGAGATGAACTTCGCGCTCACCCTGCAGCAGACACACCCGTGGACGGGGAATCCCCACTTCACCGATTTTGAAGACATCTTCGCACTCTTTCGTTCTTTTACGAAAAAGAAGACGGCCAACGTCTTTCATCGCTTCGGCGAGATCTCCGAGTTGGCGGCGGACTACGATATGAGGGTTGAGGAGGGACGGCATGACGCCGCGGGGCCGGTCGATCCGCACGAGACGGAGGGTACCCCTGTCGCGGAAGGCAATGCCAGCGATCCTAGAATTCTTAAGCCACTTCGCAGCACGAAATTTTCACCTCAAATGGCCTTTGGCGGTGACGTCTCCGTGAACATGGAGGTGATCCTGAATTGGTTGGGCATCACCGAGCGAATGCTCCCGAATGTGTTGAACTCGCAGTTGTGCGATATGCTAGAACATGCGCTTTACAACTTATCTAAAGTCAACAAGAATCACGCTAAAACATATGAATGAATAAGTGTATCCGTATATGTATAGGATAAGCAAGAGGGGCAAGGGGTGGGGGAGGAGGGCAAAGTAATAGGATTTCATGTTTTTTTTGTGTGTTTTCGTGGTTGGGTTTTGCATGGATTGATTTTGCTTTCTCCAATGCCTTGTCGATACATGTAGTTGTAAACTCCTTTCCAGTTTATTGCCCATGGTGGCATCCTTTGTAATTAGAAAAAAAACAAACCTTTGGTCGGGTTGTAATTTGATTAATGAAATGCGGGTGCCAGCGGAAACGAGACGCCCTTGTTAGAGATTAAGGGGACCATTTTTTATCGATGGGTTTTATGTATTTATTAAGCGGCATAATTTTTGCCCTGCTTTTTAATCGTCTTCACCTTTTCTAACCTTTCAGACCTAGGAAAGCCGTTATAGCACACGGGAGGGAGGGGAGTCCCACCAATCTGTTTTTTTCACCGTTCTGCGTGAAAGAGGCAATTTTGTACGGCTTTCCCTGTGGATTCAAAAAGCCCCTAGACGATGTTAAGGGTGTCGAAATCGTGGGCAGGGCGCACGCCGCCGGTCATCGGCCGCTCGAAGAAGGCGCGTTTTAGCGGCGTGGACGACAATCCCAAAATCACAAAGAAACCGTGGGATACCTCGGAGCCATTGATGGTAGAGTATGGCTGGGAGCGCGGGAAGTTGCCCAAATTTAGGGCTCGGAGCCCCTTCCATCGGCAGCAAATTGCCCACCGCATGGTTACGGAGCTTATTCGAAAGGACTACGTGATTGTGGGCGGTGCTCGCGCCCCGGCATTGCGTATTCTTGCGGATCACGTTGTCGAGCTCGCCAAGGCTGGCGATACCGACTCACGGCAGCACTTGGCTCACTTCCTGCAGGATCCTTTGATGGTTGACAAGGCATTCGACGAGTACCCGCGACGGTTTCGTGATATGAACTCCAAGTATGCCATGATGACGCGCTTAAAAGGGCGTCGTCGCGCGGATGCCGTCGCCATGTACTTTGTGGAGTACAAGAACCGCGATCTCAGTGATAATCACAAGGGCGAGGACTACAGTGTCGGGCCGGAGCGGTTTTTCTTGCCGCCGCGCGTGGTGGAGGCGGAAAAGGGGATCCAGCGGCCTCCACATATGCAAATGGCTTTTGACCGATGGGCTAGCAAGTTTAAAACGGAAGAGTTCCACCACTGGTGGCGACTGCGGCATGCCAAGCTTCGGTATTGGGGTGTGCGCAACGTGCCTCACCCCTCCGAGGTCGACCCACTTTGGACTGAGAAGGAGGAGGAAGAGTGGCATAGCGAGATTTTATCGAGCACGGCGGATTTTGAAGATTTTGATTTAGACAGTGAGGAGTTCGAGTCGTTTGGTGAGGGATCCGAGACGCCTGCGTCGGGATTCGATGGTTTGAAGGGCAGCAATGCGTAGAAAAGCTATAGTAAGAGGGGTTTCCTTCTCTATAAAGAAGGTTGCAGTAGGGGTATTCATATTTTCCTCCAGGGAAAGACTTTGGATTAGTGAGTTTATCGCACAGGTCTGTGAAGGTGGTGGACACAACCTAAACAGCACCTTTGCCGTGATTGCCCAGTATGTATGGATTCTCTTCTTACTTTTTTTCTCTGCGAATGTAGAGGATACCTATTTTCGTTTTATTCTAGCACAAATTCATGCTGACGGGTCAAGCTTAGCGTATTTAGGACTCGTTTCCGCGAAAATAGGCAATGCGTCGTAAAAATCAAGAGGTATGTGGAAAGCCCACAGAGTATAATCTTCAGACGATGGAGTACAATCGGAGGGAGCTTCCTAACACTAGAATACAGCCTTTGAAGCAGGAGCCACGTGTGAGATACTATCCACAACCCACGGTAGCCACTGATGCTCATGCCCGGGGCAATAAAGCAAATTATAATGATGGTTTGAGTCAAGAACTGAAGGTACCAGAGCAAAGGCTACCCTCAATGCAAAAAAATCGCCACTTAGAAAGTGGGGAGAATCCCCAAAGGCGCTCCCGAACTCCAATTGATGTTGGCAACGCGATCTCATTCCCAGGGGCCCCTGTCTTTGAAAGGGGGGAGAACAACCATCAGCTCGTGCCGGCACTGGACCGTGATCGGAGGCTGCCGGACGTCTCCCCTCCACGGCCGTTGCCGGAGTTCAGCCCGCGCGAGATCATTTCCATGTTACCGTGGTCCCATGAGGCCATCCGCCATGCGGTTGCATCCAACCGAATCGAGGCGAATCGGTCATATCTCCCCCATTGATCATAGCGCGTTCGGACTCCATTAGCATTGTTGTTTTCCATCGTACAGTAGGCGCAAACACGGGCTCGTTTTTCGTGTGTATATTCTTACTCACTTTAAAATTTCAATCTCTGTGCACTATAAGTTCATCCCTTATACTACAATCTCTATATAATCAGTGCGTTCTCGCTTCAAATATCTCCATACCGACACATTTCTTAGTGTCACTTAAAGAGAGACATATGGAAAAAGCCTCTCCCCCTCTCCCCCTCCCCCCAGTTTGTATGTAGGGAAGTGTTGGCTTTACGGCCAAAGAATATCATTTTTTTCAACAACCATTGCTATTTTTTCCTTTGTGAAACGTTATACAGGTGTTGAATTTTTATGCTTTTAATATTGTTCACTTTACACCAACCCTGTTCCTCAAACAACATAAAAAGGAAATCGCTTAAAGCCTTCTCAAAATCACCTCTACAACTTTTTCTTGATTATTTTTAGTTTATTTGTGCTACCCCAACACCGCTTTTTATCTTATTCAAAATGCCGAAAAATATGGGTAAAGGTGGTAAGTCCTTTAAGGCAGGCAATGCAAAAGGCAACATGCAGAATGACAAGCGCGATCTGATTTACGCCGATACCGAATCTGGTGAAGAATACGCTCAAGTGAAGAAAGCCTTGGGAAACCTGCGTCTCGAGCTTCAGCTCGCCGGTGGCACGACTGTCATCGGCGCCATTCGAGGGGCGATGGTACGGAAGGTATGGATTGCCCAGGGCGACGTTGTATTGATTTCTAAGCGTAGTTTTAATGAGAACGACACGGTGGACATCATCCACCGCTACCGCCCTGTTGAGGTGCGAATGCTGGTGAAGGAGAATGCTATCCCGCGTGACTTCCGCCCTGCCGATGAGCGTGAGAATCATGGCCATCAATACTATGTCTTTGTCAACGACGAAGATGAGCAGGGTAATGAGGATGAGGATGTGATCGATCGCAACGAAGTGGTTATGGATGATCCGTTGGCGGCGCTGGGCGACCTGTAAGGAATCAGACGATAGACAGATGAAGGAGACATGTTCGCATACCGTCTATTTCATTTGACTAATAGGTGATATATTTTGTGTTTGTTGGATTACATTTTTGTTCATTACCTCCCAACGGATGCGATGCTCCTTTTCATGAGTGTCTATCTCCAGTTCTCTTCTTGCCAGGCTAGTTTCTAGTCTAAGAAGGGTTTTTAGGGAGTTGCTTTATTTGGCCGATATTGTAAATAATTAATATAATTAATTCATGGTTCGCTAAAGTTGGGTCTTAGTTGTATTGAGATACTTACATGCTAAAGAGAAATAAGTTACTTCACCTGTGAAATAACATAGTTAAGATCAGCCACGGGGTAGTTCTGCTGCGACCGGGTTGTATCGTATAAGTACAAGGGGGGAGGAGTTTCCTTATTCTCTTGTTCTTATTCACACTGATGTGCATCCCTTCAATAGAGATGAGTATTATGGAATGATATGATGTTTTGATCTACTTCATATATTTGTCACTATTAAATAATTCATTTCAAGAGCAAAGAGGTTGGATTACAAACGTTTCTAGTTTCTGGGTGTTGTCTTGACTGTGAAATTTGATGTGGCGGTATTCTTACGTGGGCTTAACCGACGTGGCCGCATGGGGATTTTCTGGGAAGGTGTTGATGTCTAGGCGCTATGTGCGTCATCCCCTCAGCGCGGACCGCAGTTACAACGAGACTATCACGGACATACAAAACACGTTTGTATGGGAGAAAAAGCACGTCTTTAGACCTCATCAGCACTTCACCTACGACCCGGCAAGCTGGAGCCGCCCGCTAGTGGAGAAGGCAAAACATGAGCGCACGTTAAGCTTACTTGAGCGCCTCAAGGCGTTAGAGGAGCGTGCAGCTGAGGCGAGGAGCAGAGAGGGGACGACACAGGTGGTGCCTGACTCCATTTCGATCGTTACAACAGACCTGAATGGTAGGGAGGAAGGATCCGACATGGCGGCAGGGGGTATGCCTGGGGAAGCGGCCGAGCCTGGACCTTCACTCTCTTCGAGTTCGGCCTCCCAGCGACCATTGACCTCCACTCCGCTTCAAGAACTGCTAGATGAAGCTCTTCAGTTGAGCAAGGCTCTACACATGCCCCGCACGGCGCGCAAAATGGGGCTACGCCAGCAGGAAAAGCTCCACGCGCAACACCATCTCGTTCTTATCCAACTCTTCCATCGAATCCAGCATGCTGTGATAGACGAGACAATCACCCTGAATGCGCTCATATACACCTGGTTTGTGCTAATCCACGAGGTAAGCGAACTGATTCCTGCTCTCAGCCAGCCCACTATCGATGGGGAAGGGCTAGAGGAATGGGTTGTTCGCAGCGAGGAGGACGCCATCCGGACAGTCTTCGATTCCCTCACACGCACGCTGTTAACTCACGTGGTTTGTGCGGACACAATCGCGGCACGTTGGGAACAGGAGCATCCCTCACTGGAGGAGGTAATCGAGCTCATGAGCATTCTTCTGCATCCGTTCACTAAGAAAGGCCTGCGAACATGGCATGCCACCACGTCACTGGGGCCGCTGGAGGAGTCCCTGCTGTGGGGCTACGATTTGCTTCAAAGCGCCCTCTTAAGACGTATCACGACAGTTGAGACCACGTCGGAGGAGTCTCGGGACGAGGGCGACCCGGTGGCAACTTGTGCCAGCACGTCCACGGCGGGTGTATCCACCACTATGGAATGGTTGGATTCCCTACACCTCCAGGTGCTGTTGGATGCTGCGGGGAGAATCTGTACTCTCACCAGCGTCGAGGCGGACCTCCCGCGGTATTATATTATGGTCAAAAGTCAGGCCCAACACCTTTTGAAGCTCCATCAATGCGTTATTCCAGGGGCTAATCGGTGGCGACATTGGCGGCATACCTTAACGGATCTGGATAAGGTGCCATCCAAGGAAGAAAAGCGCACCGTTTTTGCCGATGATCAATATGGCGACCCTGAGGCCACCACTTTAACGAATCCCAAGGCGGTTGTGCTCGACCCCACTACGCCTCCGAGGGGAGTTCAGCATCCACTCACACAGGCTGACGACGTGCACTACTGCACTAAAGCATTCATGCGTCTTCTCGAGCTGAGTCTCAGCTACGGCGTCCGTCCTTCCGCAGTGCATTCTGGCCCGAACCACGACGGCGCACTCCGCAGTACCACCGATGCCATGTTGCACCTTCTTTCCTACGCCCCCAATTACGATTTGGACCCCACATTAGTGGCATCGCTGTCATGGCACTTGATTGGCCTGGACGAGGCCGGCTTTTCGCTCTGGGTTGGTGAGACGGAGCGGCCTCTTCGCTGGATGCTGCTGCTATCCCGCATGGACTTTTCCAGTAGTAAGGATCGAGTTGTTCTGGGTAAACTTGCACTGCGCCTTTGCCACGTTGGAGTGCCACCGATGCCCTCAAAGAGGCAGGAGCTTGACTGGCTGCGGCTACGTGGGGTCGCGATGGGGCATTTATTGAGTGTATTGAGACCGGCCGATCTCGATGCGGCGGGTCGCGCTTCTGGCGATGGCGGGGCCTGGGAGGAGCACCTGGCCTTCTATGAGTTTGATGGCCTCATTCCTATTGAGCTCTGGCGTGCAGCCTGCGCGGCACGATTTCCCGATGCATCGCCTTGGGTTTTGGCTGTGTCAGCGGTCCAGACGGGCTGTGATCCTCTTCAAGGCGGGGCTGTAGAGGGTTGCCCGCCCGCCGTAGCTCTCGCTTTACTGGTATTACGGGGTCGTTTAGTGACGGAGAAGCGTCAGAGCCGCCGCGCGCCTTTGGACGAAACCTCGTTCGCGTACATTGCAGCGTGTGTGGAAGCCCTGACGGAGGGGCGGGTTTCTAAACAGCAGCTCGCACACCTACCTGACATATGGGACGAATGTGTCGCAGACATGGAAAGATGGGGGGAGCAGGTGCTTCCTCTGCTAGCAGAGGCCAAGACATACGTTTTGTCGCGTCGTAATGTCGGACCGAATAAGGTGCATACGTTTTAACTAGTAATGTATAAAAACCAACACAGGGGATGCTTCGAGTAGCCTATCGTTTCTGGTTTCGACTGCTTAACAATTTTTGTGCTTCTGTCATTTGCATGATGTATATCAGCTACATCCACGACGATTCAATCATGGCCTTGCTGTTTCTTCTCTTCGACCCATAAGTCTGGGGGACCTTTTCCACCGGATTACAATGTCGTCTACCTTTCGCTTTTTCTTATTTCTGACCACCGTTTGTATAAAATGTACATGTGTACTGAGTAGCTTTTGTGTCACTTTGTAATTTAATTTGCTCCATTCGATTTTCACGTAGGTTTCTATACTCTGTCTAGTAAATTTAGCCCTGTTTTCTTTGGACACGCATATTTTTTTCATTTAATTTCTGCATTTACTGATTTTAATGCTGCTTGTTTATACAAATATTCATAGATAGTTGCATCATTTTTTTTCAAGACGTGTCCCCATATTTATTTACAATCATATATATATTGATTTATACGTAATGAGTGCATTTAGGTTGCACACATTTCCGGAGCGATTCAGCGATCCTAATCAAGCAAAGGTCCATGAGCCTCTTTCTAACTCAAGCAGTCCGGATCGCCATGACACTTGGGGCTGCATAGATTACCCTGACGGCACGATATACGAGGGTCGGTGCCTGCAAGGCAATCCTGACGGCCATGGGATATGCTACTACGCTTCGGGTGATATATTTGTGGGCCAGTTCAGCAAGGGGAGCATCAGTGGCGATGGGACTGTTTTTTTCAAATCCGGGGGCTTTTTCGTTGGCGAGTTCCGTGATGTCAGCACCTACAGGGGTCTGTATGGGAAGAACGGCTGCGAGGTGTGGGGGGTATGGGAAGGCGGCCGCTGTATCGATGCACATTGCGTGGTCGTATCGGAAAAGTTACAGCAGAGACATGCATCACTCTTTTCGTCTGTTTTATTCTGCATACACCATCATTTTTCCGACTACAGGTTCCATATTTCGCACTCCAAAGGACCTATCGGGTCGATCCCAAGCTCCAAAATGCTGCAAACTATTTTGCCCATTCCACATCCCACGGACTCCCGTCTTCTCTCGTCTAACTCTTTTACGCTGGCGGGCTCTCCCTTATCGAACAAGAATCTCCACAATGAGTGCAACAACACTGCTCCAGATAGTGGGACGTTAAGGAACCTGACTCCGAACACCACGGGCGTAGCTGCCAGCAAATCTTTAGTGCTTAAAACGACATGTGAGCACTGCAACGAGGGTGGAGGTGGGAATGACAGGGATCCTAAAGCCCCATGTATGATGATGCGGTCTTTGCCTCCAAACACGATTTTTGCTTGCTCCGCTCCGGTTTGCAACGAGTACTTTTCCTTTCGACGCTTTCAACTGCGGTTCTTTGTCTTTCTGTTTCCCTTTCTCTCGCTCAACTGGTCACCGTTTGCCCCATTTCGGGTATCGACCATTGATCAGGAGCGCGAGTTCGTTGTTAGTGGGGCAACGCTAGGGCGGGATTTTGACTCCATGAATCTTACAATTAACTGTATTGCGCTGGCGGTGTGCTGCCAGGTTACATCTATTGTGATAGTGGCCTGCAAAACACACCTAGGACATGTGAGTGATGGCCGGATTACATTTATTGAGATGGCCGTACCTTGCGTATTGTGGGTAGTGTTGGCGTTGTTCTGTGCGGGGTACAACAGCTACTTTCGGTATCCTCACTTTCTGGAGCGTATGGACCGCCAGCTCACACCAAAGCTATCGGCATTCGCAGCAAACGTAGTGGATGCGCGGGCGAGGGTGTGTATCAGCACGTGGGACGAAGAAGGTCGGGGGAAGGTCATGAACTTCCACTATCTCTACCGCTGGCTGTTTTTTTCTGTGCTCTCTGGGATCTTGTTCAGTTTTGCAGCACCGGTCACTCGCGTCGCGTATGGCCACCCCCCCTTTGGCAGTGGCTTTTCAATGTGTGTATTACTCCTTTCTTCATTCGCAACATTTTTATTCAACATCACACTCTTGTATTACGTGTTCAAGATCACCGACACACAGCGAGAGATTGCGGCAAAGCTTCGTGTGCTTTCGGATTTAGCGTACATCGAACAGCGAGCCATCATCAGACCGAGTGTTTACTTGCGACAGACTCTTGACATGGGTGCGCGTCTGGATACAAGCGATCTCTTTAATGGGTTCACCGGCTGGTATACAACACGCTCCCTCATCCTTTATGGCTCCAGCTATTCAAATCACTTTTCGAGATCAAGTGCCATGAGTATCTTTGCGACTGTTATGCTCATCTGCAGTATTTCGGGAATCTCACACGCGGTCAGCATTCACTTGGGATCCCCTCCGGACTCTCCTAACAAACACATCATAGCCCACTCCTATGCCATCTTTATCTTCGCCATCTGGGGGACTCAGCTTACTCGCTATATAAATGCATCTTCTTCCACTCAACGTGAGCTCAGACACCATCAATATATTATGAATTTAACCAGCATGTACCACCGTGTGAAGCACCGCGATGTGGAGGCGAGTGAAATTATCAAGCACTGCTGTGAGATGGCGAGTGCGCAAGACTTGGAGCCGCAGTGGTTTAACTTCCCTATGTACGCCATCTCGATGTTTTTTTTAGTTTTACTGAACATGATTGGTTTTATTGCGAGCATTCTCCTCCTGATTCGAGAAATTCAAAGATGAATGGCGCACCCTGTTGCCATGTCTCAGAAGGAGCAGTTACCGAATATGATGATCTGAGATTCGGTACTTTTTACGGACAGGCATATATAACTCTGCTTTCGGTATAGTTCTTTTAGTATGATTTAGCTTTTATTCCTGTCGAGTCTTTTCTTCTTACTTCCATGCTTTTGTTTGCTAATTAAACTTTTCCCTCTCCTCGATGGTTCCTTTTTATTGGTTGCTTGATTTTGAATTAGAACGAGTAATGAGGTCACTGATACTGAGCAAACACACCGCTGCTGTAACCGCAGACAATACGCGAAAACGGTTCGCTACAAGCAGCGAGGCATCACTCACGAAATCTACCAGAGCGAGGGCCATAACCCTTGCCGGTTATACTTTTTCCCCTCAAAACAACATCTTCCTCAGGGCCCTAGCGCGCACGAAAGGGTACGCTACCGATGTGTGGGTGCCTCTGCCCACCGCTCAGGCGCTGAGGCTGGTACTTCGCCGGCACGCCGACCCCCCCGTGCGCATCACCCACGCCAACGGCGACTGCCTCTACTACCACAACTCCCAGTTCAGGTGCTCATTGGAGGAGATGCAAAGGCAGTGGAGGCACTTTACGGAGGCCCCACAGGTGATGGGGAGCGGTGGCACTAAGGAGAGACTCGCGGACGCGATCCCCATTCAGGAGGAGCAGCTACCGCTGAATACGAATGGGGAGCGCTTCGAGCACGCGGCAGAACTCCAGATGATCGAGTACACACGGCGGCATGGCTATGCTAGTCGCTATTGGGCCACTCCGCAGGAAGCGGGGTACCTTTTCCAAAGTCCATTTCGGGATCCTTTCTTAGGCGTAAAAGAGCATGGTGTCGAGGTCGCCAACATTTTCACCAGCAAACCTCTTCTCTACTATAACGTCAGCGGGACGACAGATCCCTCCAAATTTACACCAGAGGTTTGCCGGCGCTACGACCCTTACAATTTTCATTTGCGGTTTTACCGACCGATCACCGCCATCCAACTGAAGCGGTCTGCGATTGAACATGATTGCGTGGACCAACAGCAGTGGATAACCCCGGAACGTGCCAAATGGTGGCGCGTACGACTCAAAAGTAATGTCAAACCTGTCGTGCTCATTTACAAGCCTGGGGAGGTCGTACAACTGGTGAACGTTAACATGACGGAGAATCCAAAACGACTTAAGGAGCAGAGTTTTGTGAGATGTTCTTTCCCCATGGAAGATGATGAATTGGTTTTTCAGACCCTTGTGACAAAAAAATGATGTCTCGGAGCGTGATCACGATTCTGCACAATCGTTAGAATTTATACCCCCTTTCCCTATTTTTGAATCTCTGCTATTCCTTATCGTTTAATGTAACGTTTTCCTTTAAGAAAAAAAGGCTAAAACCAAACCTAAATAAATTCAGTTGTGAAAGTCCATGGGGATCGTTGCTTTACTCGCATGTCTTTGGACGGTTCGAAAAATCTGACGGAGTGGTGTTTACTTTTTCCCTTGTTATTTATTCAACTCTTGGACAAATAATTGATAGACAGAAAAGGTATTATTTCCTTTTTAGGCGACAAAGAGGATTAAAAATACGCGTTTCGTATAGGGTCTACAATGTGGCACTCTCAGGTACTGCGATACGTTTCAGCCGTCGATCTGTACGCTTTGGAACAGCGTGGCTCTATGTTGAGCTACCATTTTTTGGAGTCCACTGCCAGGATGAAAGAAGCTTATCAAAGGTTACCCGCAGCGCAGCGCTTCAGATTAGAGGAACGTGCTGCGTCACTGTGTGAGGAAGTTGAAAAGATGGACCAAATTGAAAGTTTCTTTTTGGTCGACTAGACTTTCCATTAAATTTGCTTTCCTTGCTTGCTTTTTTTGGGTTTCTATAGGAGGTGGCATGAATACTGAGAGTTCATGCGGAACGATTACAATTTACGCACTTAAAAAGTGCCACAGAAGTATATATGGATGCTATTGTCTGTGAAAGTTTTGATAAATAACACCACAAGTAATAGTTGCCGTTTTGCGCACTAAGCATGGGTGTCAAAGCAATTATTCTCGTCGCCCAAAAGTCGAGGACATCCATCGTCTTTCGATATTGTTGTTGTGCTTTTTTTTTGTTTTGCACTGAGTCATTCATGTGCCGATGGGTGTGTGTTAAGAATAGGGGAAGCTCCTGCCCACGCTGCGTCGTTTTCTGAATCTACAAGCTTTTCCCTTTCTTCACGTTAAGATACCAATTAAAAGTCGAAATCTGCCACAACACTGTCTCAGTCTAAGGTTTAGACATTTGTTTGTATACCACACTATCAAAGAATCGATTTAATCGTATTAGTCTGCCATGGGCAAGGGAAGAGATAAGCGCAAGAAGCGGGAGGATCCGGCTAAAGCCGCTAAGCGGGCATCAAGGCAGTCCAACAAGCTCCACAAACATCTCGCAAAGCAGCAGGACGATAACATTGAGAAGGAGGGTTTGAATAATGAGGAGGCGATTGAAGTAACCCTAAAACATATTCAAAAGGCGCAGGGAAAGATTCGTGTAGTGGAGGAAATCCAAGACGTCAAGCCGCCATCACCACGAGTGAATGTGGTACTGTCAGCCCATCCTGAACGTGATGGAGAGCTGATTATCTTTGGCGGTGAGTACTGGAACGGCAAAATCACGACAGCCTACAACGACACGTACTTTTATCGTATCCGACGTGGTACATGGGCGAAGCTCTCCTGCGCAGTAAACCCGGCACCCCGCAGCAGTAGTCAGGGCATCGTATACAAGCATTACCTCATCATCTTTGGCGGCGAGTTTGTGTCGCAGTCCCAGTCGCAGTACATGCACTTTAGAGATGTCTGGAGGTTCAACTCACGCGTCAGTGAGTGGGAGGAGCTGAAAACCCTCAAGGGAGGCCCTTCTTCACGGAGCGGGCATCGCATGGTGCTTTGGAAGCGAAATGCGGTCGTGTTCGGTGGTTTTTACGACAATGCACAGGAGTGTCGCTATTACAATGATTTATGGATGCTCTCCTCGTTGGAGGGGGCGGGGAAATGGACTGAGATGAAGGTATTATCTGTTGGTGAAGTTCCTCACGTCCGAAGCGGACACAACATGGCGGTGTATGGGGACCAGCTCTTTGTATTTGGTGGCTACTCCACAGAGAAGTTTAATCGATTCAAAAAGTCAGAAGCCACTGTACACCACGACCTGTGGATGATTCAGCTGTATCCACCCGAGAAAGAGTTCAAATCGGCTGAGGAGCTGCCAATGTGGCGGAAACTACGCCTTGGTGGGGTGCCTCCACCGATACGCTGCGGCGTCGCGTCGGCCTTCAAAGATGCACGTTTATACCTCTTTGGTGGTGTCGTGGATATCGAATCGCCAGGGGGCAAGATGCTCTCTACCTTTCATAACGACCTGTTTGTCTTCCACATGGATTCCAAGAGTTTCTATCCCGTGGTGCTCCGTAAGGCCTCAAAAAAGTCTGTATCGGCCAAGCAACTTCGTGCAGATCATTTGAACAGCCTTCAGGCACAGCTTGAGGCGCTGCGTTTAGGTGACCAGGGTGCGGAGGGCGGCGATCCTAACGACACGGACTCCTCCTCTTCGTCTTCCTCGTTGTCGCTGTCGGAGCATGGAGAGAACAAGGCGGTGGAGAACAGTCCCATGGCGAAGGAAAGCTATGAAACGAACCGCTACGGCCAGATACTGCCGCATCGGCGAATGGACGCATCCATGGTGGTGATCGGAAATCAGCTCTACCTTTTCGGCGGCCAATTCGAGAGCTCCAAGAGGGAGGTGACCATGGCCGACTTATTTTCCTTAAACCTTAATCGCCTTGATACTTACCAGGTGCTCCTCTCGCAAAATCTTTCCGAGGCGGAGTGGCTCGCCAACGACTCGGAGAGCGACGCTGGATCGTGGGAGAGCGGGAGCACCGTCGTCAGCGGCACCTTTGACTTCGACTACAGTGATGAGGAAGGGGAGGAAGAGGGGGGCGGCGTGGGGATGGCTATGGTGGACGACGAGATGAACGGCGATGAGGCCCCGGAGGCGATTCCGGCCGAACTCGAGATGGAGGCAACCCCCGGCCACGCGGAGGTCGCCGGGGTGATCGATCACATCACGCACACCCGTGGGAAGAAGGGGCTGCACGTGCACAAGGCGCAGCTCCTTGCCCAGCTGAACTCCTCCGCCGCGGTGCCGACACCGACGCGTGAGGAGCCTTTTCGGCAGTTCTTTGAGCGAACCCAGGCGTTCTGGACGGCGACAGCGAAGGAGGCCCATCAGGGCACCCGCTCGGACCGGCGTGTCAAGAAGGAGGCATCGATCTTTGCGCGCAGGCGATACGACGAAACCAAGGAGTTACTGGCGCAGCTGGCCTTGGTGGAAGAGCGTGAGAGGGAAGAGGCACGCTTCTTTAAAGAGCGGCGCCTTCAAAAGGAGAAGGAATGGGAGGAGTACGAGCGGGAGCAGCAGAGGCTGCAGCAGGAAGAGGCTGCTGCCGTTGCATCCGCATTAAAGCATAATACTGACGTGACGGACGATGAGGAGGACGATGAAAGCGAAGATTAAATACATTATCGTCACAGAAACGTTTACATGCTTATAATTGGCCAGTAAATAGACGTTTAATGTTCCTCCGGATTTTACTTTCTATTTTTTAGCTTAAGGACGATTAAACAATGAAAATATTAGCCGCGTTGGTGTGATAAGTAAAACGAAGGAACTGGATTTACGCGTGCATACACGCGTTACGTTATAGTATCTGAGAAGGGCAGAATTAGCATTTGCCCCTTTAGTTGTTCACCCCTGTTGATATTTAATACTGGCGTGGTGTGGTTACAAATATATTTTTCCTCCCTTTGTGGTACGCATCCTGCATTCCTTCAAAAACATGAATAACTAAAAGGCTACCTTTTATTTAGTTTTACCCCTTTTACTGTGGGTATATTTTTATGATTCGCCCCTTGCTTCGCCTTAGATCGGCGGAAGCATTGCAGGGGGATATCTTTTTGTCTACAATCTAGTTTATTCCACAAAAGCTGCCAATGGATGAAAGCGGCATATCTATGGTGGTGAGATTGCGTCTTTTACTGGAGCAGAATCGAAAAGTTCAGGAAAGTATTGCGCAGGCGATCTCCATAAACGACGAAAAGCTAGCGGCAACCGAAGCTCTCCGACTGCTTCTTGTGAGAGCCGAATCATCCTCCTCTGGAGGCAAAGCTATGCGCCGTCATATAGTTATCCAAACTGAGCAGAGTCAGGATGGGGGAGAGGAACCTTTACATATTTCCCATTCCTTTTCAGTATTAAGAGCGCCGCGGGAGTGCATTCTTCCCGATCCATTCAAAATCGTTGGCTTGTATGTTACCCCACATTCTAAACACGTGCGCCTCATGCCCCCCCTGCAAACGTTCGAGGACGTGGATCGCAATGAACTGGAGAAAATCTTCCCCCCTTTCCCAAAGGTTTCCACTCATTCACAGGAATTTAGTATGCCGAAATCGTTGCCTTGCCATCAGAGCGGCTTTGAGGTATCTTTCCCTAACACCACCAAAGGGCGTGTACAAATTCGATTTCATTCGAATGATGTAGAACTGCAAAGCACAGCAGAAGTCCTGGAGCAGTTCAAAAGGAGCTTTGAGGGGGAGGCGGGGAGGCGCATAATTCAGCAAAACTGGCCGGATCCTTATACCTGTCTGGCCCATCTTCTAGTTAGTTATCTAAACGAGGAGTTCTGTAAGTACGACCGTGAAGACCGTCTCAAATCATTGATTCCGAACTATTTGCTTACACGGTGGACCTACCTACAGCGCTTAGTCGAAAAGGCAACTTACCCCTTTTTGTTTGCGTGCGAGAATATCGACTTTCTGAGGAGCTCCCGAGTGCGCGCCTACAGGAAGTTACGAGGAGGTGGGTATCGATGCTTGGAACGGCCCTTGTTGCTCTTGGCCGCACTCATTGCCCATCGTGCGGGTCTTTTTAGATCTAGTACATTTCTTGACTTAAGTATGAGTATCTCTCTTTTCATAGGCTCCCGTGAACTTATTGATTTTCGAGCCTTGCTAAATCTTAAGGCTTCTGAATGGTTTACGGAGCACAACAATCCCCACCAGATCAAAGGTGTGTAAGTGTACAATGAATAACAAATAATCTTGTTCGCTATTGTGGTACTATACCCTGATAAGGGCAGGAACTAACCGAATGAAGATTTTATTTTCAAATCTCAAATTCTTCGATTCTCCTCTTTTCATTTTGTTTATTAGAATAGAATTACCTTAAGCGTGTGTGATTTTCTTTTTCACGACTAAGTTTGACAATGTCTCTCCCGGCCATCGAAGACTGTGTGCTACGCACCACCACACTGGAGGATTTTAAGGAAGTCATGGGAAAGCCTGTGGGTGAGTACTCATTATTGGACGCAATCTGTTCGACTTATACAGATCTCTCTCTAGGTCAGCAGTTGCCGCGAACCTCTGCATACCCGACGCTCATGGTGTGTGACCTGACGCCAGCTACTAGCGGGACGCTATCGGAAAACACCACCCTTATCGTCTTGCCGCCTGTGGATTCGACACCCTCGCATCAGGATGAGGTCTCACAACTCGATGCATCGGCACCCACCCGTAAAACTGACGATGCCCTTTTGGTGCCGGAGGGGGAGCTGGAAATTCGACTTTGCAGGGGGATGGTGGGGACACGGGCAGAGGGGACGTCCCGCGTGCTCGATGATCTGCTTGTGCCAGAGGGCGGACTCCTCCGCATTGGAAATGAGGCCTACGCCTGTTACTTTACTGTTTATGTGGCGCCCGATATGGAGGGCATCGCAGCGGATTCCCAGACCTTACGTGTCAGCCCAGAATTATTTCGGAATATACGAGCCGCTTATTTGAACGACGTTGGTTTTCAAGCAACACCGCATTCATTTTCGGATACTCGATTAAATCTTCCGTGGCATCTACTCAACCCGGTGGAGGATTCGGAGGGTAATGTGGAAACCCTCAAGGATTCTTCACCAGAGGACGCTCAACTGCGACTTGACAAGTTGGTGCTTTGCCCTGCCTTAGACAATCTCTTCTTGTGTAATATTTTTGGAGACCATTATGCTGACCTTATGGAGGCTCTTTTGACCATTTGTGCTTCGAAGCTGCATGGTAGGCTGCTCTCCGAGGGTAATGTCGTAACGCTTCATCTCACACAAGAGGATCTTCAGGGCTCTCCTCCAAGTATAGGAGGGTTGGACGTTCTCGAGGCCATTTTTGCTACTCTAAAGCACCAAACGGAAACCTTTAGTGGTGTCTGGACTTCACCCGATACACTTTCCCTGTTTCCGTTTCGTGTAGTGGAGCTGTGGCGAGGTGGTGAGCCCGTTAACTACGGTTACGCGTGGTTTGGCGATGCGAGCCCCAAACGCCAAACAGGGTTCTCGCTCGCATCCCAGTCTACTTTTAAGGCAACAGAGTACACCCCTCTGTTTGCCTCGCTGATTGACCAAGAGGAGGTAGAGGACCGACTGGAAGCACAAGAGCAACTTTATGCCTCATTGAACCAGTTTTTGGTAGCGAATCAAAAACAGACAGCGTTCCATACCTTTGTTGTGCACGGCTTAAAGGAAAATGGCGTGTACTCATTTATCGACTACGCTCTACGGGAGTTTGGAGTGCTGCCGATGTTTGCCTCGGCGGAGGGCCTAGACGACGAGGAACTGAGAACCCTTCTGGGACGGTTTGGGGAAACGTCCGGTCAGGTCGCCCTTGTCGTTAAGAATGCCGAGAGCATCGCGGCGAATCACCCGGAGCTCTTCCCCCTGCTGCAGCAGTCGGAGGATCCGGTGCTCCACGCGTCGGATCGCTGCCCGCGGGTGATCCTCCTGGTGTGTGAGACGCAGGAAGCGGTGCCGCCCGCGATGGCCGCCCGGGCGACGAACCCGGAGGGCGTCATCCCCTGCGGCAACCCTTCGGAGGAGGACCGGGCGCGGCTGGCCCGCCGCAGTGCCCGACGTGCCGCGCGGGCGTATCACCTGCACCTGAGCCCCTTTCTTTCCTTCCGTGCCATCGCCGGCTGGACGGTGGGGCTGTCCTGCGCGGATATCGTGGCGTACATGCAGGCCTGCACCGCGGCGGTGACGAGCCGCCCCTACCTGGAAGGGGTGATGCCGGTGCTATCGGACAGGGCGTGCGAGCGTGTGTTGCAGGATTATCTTAAATCGCACGGTCTGACATTGGTTTCTACCAAGCTTCAGCCGGTCCGTTGGAGCGACGTGGGCGGCCTGGTGGAGGCGAAACGCGAGCTCAAAGAGACGATTCAGCTTCCCATTCTCTATCCCGAAATATTTGCCAGTGGTATGAAGAAGCGGACGGGCATTTTGTTCTACGGCCCGCCTGGGTGCGGCAAGACATTGTTGGCCAAGGCGGTCGCTACTGAGATGAACATGAATTTTATGTCTGTCAAGGGTCCCGAACTGATCAATCAGTATGTTGGTGAGAGTGAGCGCAACATTCGTGTTCTTTTCCAAAAAGCTAGGGATAACTCCCCGTGCATTGTGTTCTTTGACGAACTGGACGCGTTGGCCCCCGCTCGAGGAGCGAAGGGTGATGCGGGTGGTGCGATGGATCGCATCGTATCCCAATTGCTTGTCGAGGTGGATGGCATTGGTCAAACGCGGTCCGATGGAACCGCAAGCGGCCAGGTGTTTATTATCGGCGCCACGAACCGCCCTGATCTCCTTGATCCATCCTTGTTGCGACCTGGCCGCTTTGATCGGCTCTGCTACTTGGGTATTCCCTCGACAAGGGAGGAGCAGCTGCATGCCGTTCGTGCCCTTACACGTAAGTTTGATTTGCACGATGATGTGAATTTTGACAAGTTGTTGGAGCCACTTGACTTTGTATACACGGGGGCCGATTTCTTCGCCCTATGTTCTGATGCTATGATGTTCTCCGTTGAGGAGGCCCTCGAATGTGCGAAAGTGGAGGTTGCAGGTTATGGCGGCGCGGTAGGAGGGCACCGTGATGGTTCCTCTGGGGCCGTTGACGACAATCTCGGCGCTCCTATTAAGGTGAAAATGAGCCACTTTTTGGCGGCCCGTGACCAGCTCAAGGCGTCCGTCACCAAGGAAGATTTGAGGCGATATGAGTCGCTAAAGACAAAGTTCAGTAGATGATATGGCGCGTATCAGTGGTGGTAAGGTTTCATTCTTGTTTACACGAGTATGAATCCGTATTCTGCAAGGTCTACTACTACTACTACTACTACTACTACTACTACAATTATTATGATGACTATTACGACTATAAATTTGATTGACTCCTGTCCAATATTAAACCGAGAGTTGGGCTGCGTTTGGTTATTAAACAGAAAATATAATGTCTTGCATGCTGTTACCTGCGGGGAGTATCAAAAGCATGGTGGTCTTATAAAATTAACCCATCAAATTCATCTTCTTTCAGCATACATGTGTAGGATGGTAATTGTAGACCGAACTGAGGTTTACACATGAGATATGCAAATAAGCGGGGGGTGTATGACTCCTTTCCCTATTTATCTCTTTTCCTTTATGAGGAGAAGGTGCGTTGAGGCATCCGAAAGCAGCTGTGCGATTCGCAAGGAAACCGATTTAGTCTCTTAAGTACTACAACCATAGAACATCTTTTTAAATTAAGGGTTTACATTGGTTAACATGTCTATAGAGGCGGTTACATCAAGGCGCATTCGCCGAACATGGGAACCATCCGAAAAGCATTGGAACGATGACGCGCTGGAGACTCCATGGGAAACCATAGACCCACCATTGCATAAAGTGACTGTTTTTAGTCTCAAAAATGTTTTCTTCTTTTCCCATGCTACAGCCGTTCAGGCAACGACTCTGAAAACACTTTCGAGGGAGGGTGAGAGTGCGATTATCGAGGCACCAACCGGGAGCGGGAAAACCTTAGCCTTCCTGATACCGATGATGGAGCGCACCATTCGCTGGTGTGAGTCCTATGTGGCGACGCATCAGAAACCGCCTTTGACTCGGAATATCTTGGGCATCATCCTGTCTCCATCTCGCGCACTTGCGGAACAGACATATGTCGTAGGCAAGCAGCTGGCAGCGCGCTACCCGTACAATGTGCAATTCATTTTGTGCGACGACGCGCTGGGAAAGCCTGACGCGGTTTTGGAGCGACTCCAGCGGAGCCAACGCGGCGCGGGATTCTATCTGACCACCACCCCTAAGGACTTGAAGAATTTGCTTGAACAGATGAAGAAATCAGAAGGGATGGCGAGCACTGCCACTCGGCGACAGGTGTCAGAGGAGCTACTCGCACAACAGGACGAAGAGACGCGCCGCCGGTACTACGCCAAGCGGGAGCACAAGCAGGCTCGCACCGAAGCCGAGTCTTCCTCGAACTCCACTGGAGGAGGGGACCGTGTTGGGTTCTTTGCTTCTCCTAGTAAGCACTTTACGATTGTCATGGATGAAGCGGACCTTCTTTTTAACTCGCCCGATATGCGACTCACCGTTGTACAGTTTATTCAAGACCATTGCCTTCCCCAAGAGCGCGGGTCATCCGGCAAGGGATCGGACAAACGAAAGCGAAAGCGGCCGCACCAGCCCCACGAGGCGTTGCGTTCTGACTTTGTGTTCGTCGGGGCGACGGTTGCAACTTCCCCTAGTGTAAAGCAGTACGCCCAGGAGGTATGCAAGGCCTGCGGTACGAATCTCAACCTTGTTTCCGTTGGGTCCCCGTCTGACTTTCTTTTGCAACTTCAAAGCAAGTACGCCGTGTGTGAGGCTAGTGAATTTTTGCCTACCTTCATTCAGATGATGAATCTTCATGCATCTAAGAAGCATTTTGTTTTCTTTAACAGCTACCGTGCACTACAATTCGCGCACCGGCTTTTTCAAAATTTGTATCGAGGCGCTCGTCCGCTTCTTTTTATCAGCAGTATTTTTACCATGTACGAGGGTATGACCGAGAGTGCACGAATAGAGCAATACAACGCCTTTTTGACCCACTCCACCCTCAAGGGAGGTCCTGAAAAAATTAAGAAGCCACCATCCGACGCGGAAAAAAAGAACCAAATCTTTTCAGGCGGTTGGAAGCGCGATGGACGAACTCCGATGGGCTCTGGTGCGATTTTACTATGCACCGATGTCGCGGCCTTCGGTTTGGACGTTCGGGATGTGGACTATGTTTACCACTTTGAACCTCCTTCTTCGGTGCAGGCCTATGTCCACCGTGTAGGCCGAGTGGGTCGTATGGGAATGAGAGGTTGCAGTGTGTTACTTTTACCTTGCCTCTCCGATACGGCTGCGGCTAGCAATGCAAAGGAACGGAAGGCGACTAGTCACCGCTTTGAAACTATTGCGAATACCAAGGAATCCACCAGTGAGCTGCATTCACCTCGTGCGTTGCTGCAACAGCTGGGGCCACGGTGGGAGCAATATGTTAATGACCTAGCACAGCACGTCACAATTCAGGAGTACACGGTGCCCCCTTTTGCACCCATTTCATCCACTCTTCGCAACGTTATTCATCAGGATACCAAACTACAGAAGCTTGCGCGAGCGGCTGCCATCTCCATGTGTGAGGCAGTAGGCGATGAAAAGGTAAGCTGGTTTACTCCAAAGATGTGCCTTCGCGTGCTATTTCTCGATTAGAGTCATTTAGTGCTGTCAGCAAAGGTTGTTCCTGTAATTCATTTGTACTCTGTTGCTGCTAATTAATTAACCGCTTCTTCTCCTTTTTGTATGGCCTTGTGTGATCTGCCTTGGTGGCGACATGTTATTCTCATTTGCCTATTTATTCATAGACATAGAATCGGAGCCGTTTCCCTTTTTTTTTCTACGTGTCGCATTTCTTCGAAGTTTACCCTTCCTAATAAAAGGGGAGATGTACAGCTACAACAACATCGTCGAAAAGGGGGAGCCAAAGCACAAGGAGCTCATTGACAGGGCTCTAGACCACCTAACTGCGATTCCGAAAAGTACGCAACACCGAGTCAGTCCTGAGGTTGACTGCATTATTGTGGACAATTTCCTCACAAATGAAGAGTGCGATGCGCTCGTCGAGGCTTGTGAGAAGACAGGGTTTTCCTTTTGGAGGCAAACAACTCACGACGCAACCGATGGGGAGTCGTGCTGCAGTGCAGCCTCAAAGGCGGTTCGAGTTGTGGACACCATCGAGGCCAACTTTGATCATTTATCGCAGTTCCTTTTTAAACGAATCGCAGCGGTGGTGGATCTTGAGTCCAAGCGCTTCAGTAAGGAAATGATAGGCGCGGAGGAATTGTATGAGCGAGATCTGGAGGGAGAGTGGGTACCTTACGCTTTGTCAAGCAATTTATTGCTCGGGAGGTACAAGCCTGGGGGGCATTTTATGCCCCATATCGACGGCTCCACGGTTGTGGATCTTAACACGCGTTCCTTCTATACCCTGCTTTTGTACCTCAACGACTGCCCTGAAGGGGGCGAGACACATTTGTTTTCTGGCGAGCAGCACAAGGTGATTTTCATGGATTCTGAGGCGAACAAGCTACGCGGCAGTGCGTCGAATCGAGTTGGTTCAGTAGAGCCCAAGAAGGGGCGCGCGGCATTTTTCTATTACGACCTTCTCCATGAAGGTGCACCGGTAGTTTCTGGCCTAAAATATATCTGTCGAGCCGATCTTCTGTATCGCCGTCAACCGCCTATTCTCACGAGTGAAAAGGACACCGAAGCCTTTGAGCTCTACCAGCAGGCACGTACCCTTGAGAGCAGTGGCGAGGCCGCCCGCGCGTGTGAACTCTTCCAACGTGTAAGAAAAGTATCAAAAGGAGTCGCTGAATTATATCAGTTGGATTAACCATTCCCTCAGTTTCAGATCAACTTTGAGCGGAGTAATGGTCAAAGGGTCATGTGAATGGGAAGGGAAGGGGGGGTGTATCGTGGAGCGGAAGGCGATACCATCTGTCAACAACAAAAAGTGAATATTAATGAACATTACTAACAACTTGATTTTATGAATAAATAAATAATTTTCTATATCTGTATTGATACCAATATCCATATGGACCCTCAAACAATTGGCATAGGGTTTTACTAACGGCAAATCTGTTGAACAGGCATAACTAGTAGCCACGATGCTTGTGCCCCCCTTTGACCAGGGAAATGTCATCTTTCCTGTTTCTTTTATTTTATCAACTGTACTCGCCGTGTAGGGCGTGTTTTTGTTTTACCAAACAGAGAGGAGGGAAATATTAAAGTCGTACCATGCAGCACGTGGAAGATTTTGACTCTGAGGGCTCACAGGAGCAGCAATACTATGCCGCGTACGAGGACTGGAGCGTGCACCGTGCCATGCTTTCGGACAAGCCGCGCATGGATTTTTACAGGAGCATTCTCAGTGACCCTGATGTAGTTCGAGGAAAGGTAGTCGCAGATGTTGGGTCGGGAACGGGCGTGCTAAGTGTGTGGGCCGCACTAGCAGGGGCGGCTCACGTTGTTTCCCTTGAGGCCTCTACCATGGCTCGTGCCCAGAGTTTGGTGTTTGAAGAAAACGCTGTGGTCGATCGCGTGAGCGTGATTGAGATGACGGTCGAGGCGCTTGTAGTGCGTGGAGTTGACGATTTTATTGAACGGTACAGCTTTGTACGCGAAGCGGGCGGCGTCGCGCTACTGGTCTCGGAGTGGATGGGGTTTTATTTATTTCACGAAGGCATGCTACCGTCTGTTCTCCTTGCTCGCGACTTTTTCAATCAGGTCAATAACACCCTTAATCATGGTATCACGCTCAAAATGATACCGTCATCTGCTGTCATCAAGGCCGCCCCTGTATCCTTGCGGCCGTATTTTGAGCAGGTGATCCAGCCATTTTGGAACTCCGTTGCGGGGATACGCATGGGCTCTGTCGCGCACCTTGCATATGAACAGGCCATCCAAGCTGCTTCACCCATGATCGATGTGATTCCCCCAGGCTGCCTCTTGCATGAGGGAGAGGAAGTTTGGTCTAGTGATCTTTCAACATTATCGGCATCCGATATTCAATGTGTGAACCAAAAAGTGCGCTTTGAATTTATGAATTCTACGGTTTTTAAAGCTAAGCTTAAAGAAGATGGAGTCAACGTCGTGGATGGTTTCATCTTGTGGTTCGAGGTTGGTTCTGAGTCAAAGTGCCTTAGCACCTCTCCTGCCCATCCTCCTACACACTGGAAGCAGTCCGTAATGCTCTTGCCTTATGCCTACCGGCACGAAAGGGTTGTTGCTTTCGACACAGCGGATGACGTGTTTGAGGTCACATTCACCTTTAAAACGCGAGACGATAACCCACGTTGCTACATTTTAGCGTTTGAGCTGAATTAGTTCGTCCTTTTTCTACCTTTGCCAGCATGAGGCATTTTTTGTTTAAATTTTGCTTTCTTTAAAGCAGCATTTGTGTTACACCGTTAAGCCTAACGCAGGGCATGAGAGAGAGAGGCTCAAACATTATTTCCTACTAAATCATTGTATTTCTTTTGCGGACAAAATGAATCTTTATTACATCCATTGTGGGTATCGTCTAGTAACACTCCTCAGTCCCCCTCTCGTATATACATATATATATATATATATTCATACACGAAAGTGGTGGTGCAAAAAAAAAAAAGGAAGAACAAGACAAACCAAAAGACATTAAGAGCACAAAAAAAAAAGAGAATTTCATAGCTCAATGGCTACCGGAAACATATCAGACACTGCGTTAAAATACTTCGAGGAAAAGGGCATTAAAATGCTCTTAGATGAGGCATTCCACGATTTATTGGTTGCGTTGCCTGACGATCCACTAACGTTTTTGTTGAACGCGTTTGAAAAGCCGTCTGGTCTCCGCCTTATGGTCGCAGGATTATTCGGTAGCGGAAAAAGTACGCAGTCCAAACTGCTGGCTGAAAAGTATGGACTTTGTTATATCAGTGCGGGTGATTTGTTGCGTAAACAAAGTGCCGGTACATCAGAAAAGGCGCAGCTAATTTCTTCTTATTTGGACCGAAAGGCCCTTGTACCGGACGAGCTCTTTATAGACTTGGTCTTTGAAGCGTTACGTCCTGCACAGGAAAGTGGCCGTGGGTGGATTCTAGAGGGAATCCCGCGAACACGCGCCCAGGCTATCTATCTCCAGACCGCAGGAATATTTCCCCAGAGGTTCTTCTACCTGGATGTTTCCAATGAGGTATCAGCGCTCCGCCTATCAAAAACGTGTAGGAACACCGTGCGTACACCATCTTCCCCAGATCCACCGAAGATGGATAACACTTATGAGGCAATAATTTTGAGTTTGAACAATTCCAAGTCTCAATATCAAGAGCTTATTGAGTGCTACGAATCTTTTTTTGTTCGCATTAATGCGGAGAGGACAGTTGAAGAGGTACATGAGGAACTATGTGCTCAAGTGATGTCTTTAGGGTTGCCCCCATAGGCCGGGGGGGGGGGGGGGGGGGCCACGGCGGCGAAAAGACGAGCCCCCAGACGACACTCATTCATTAAAGGGGAAATGCCTAGTGTTGGATGTACATAGCGCGTAATTTTATGCTCACACGATGGGTGTTTTTGACATCCCACTGGTGTAAATACTCACTTGCCTTACTTATCCGTTTCCCTTTCAAATTCTGTGACTTGTAATTTGCGTGTCCTACAATTTATTTCACTATAACTTCCATTTTTCCCTCCCTTTCACTTTCTGTTGCACGCTTGATTTTTGGTTAATCCCTACCTAACAGGGTTTGTTTGTATCGTTTAGGGAATGTTTTGTCACACGCCGGTAGCATGTCGCCATCGTCTATTCCACCCGGTTAGGCAGAACATCCCGTTTCACTTTAACACAGCCAAGAACATGTTTCCGCTTATCTACCAGAATAACCTGTTGGCAAAGCCACGCAACAACTGGGAAGATTATGAGGGCCGTAGAGAGTTTGATGAGGACCACCCGCTCCCAGTGGTGGGTACTCGTCTAAATGAATTGACGACAACACACAAGTGGTCGCATTGGGATCAATATTTGAATCCGCAGATCACCCTGAACGACCGCGACCTCACCCCTACACCCGAGTACGTCGGCCCTCGCAGTGGACACAACGTGATCAAGATGGGCTGGATGAAGATCGGTGGGAGCTGGAAGTATTCCCGGGGCTACAACGACTCCAGGAAGGGTTTCGCCAAGGGGCAGTGGCAGGAGCGAAAAATGACACCGCGCTTTATGCTTGCACCGCGTGTGTCACCTGGCGGACCGCGAAATCGTTACGAAGGGAAGGCTACCTTTTCACGTATTCAGCTCAGCAAAATACTTTGGGCTATCGACAGCGGGCGGCTGAACCCCAACGAGGTGATCACGCTTTACCACTTGCGGCAGGCGCGTGTCATTGGAGGTTTTGAGATATACTGGCCAGGAATGGTTTTACTTTCGGGAAACGTGGAGAAGGTTCCGTACCCGCTAAACATTGAGTTACAAAACGCTTCCGCCAAAGCGATTAAACTTATCGAGGAGGCCGGAGGTTCGTTCACCTGCGTGTATATGACTCACGATGGTCTGTATCAGGAGCTTCATCCGGAGGAGTTTCCCACCTTTCTCGATCAAGAACTACCGGAAAAGAAAGGTTTGGAGAGTTTTGCCACAAATCCGAACAAACGCGGGTGGCTGTCGCAATGGTATGAAGACGAGAACAAATACGCACATCCCGACGCAGGTCGCCGGTATTCTCACTACGTTCGTCCACCGACTGATAGAGATTTCCCATCGACTGTGGAGGAGTATGAGTTAGTAAAGCACCATCAAAAGTGGCACCTCAATCAGCCCTCCACTGGAACCGTTCTTCCGTGGCATTTGTACAATACTACTGATCTTGTCAGGAGGTCAACTGGGAAAATCTAGGCGCATTTTTTTGGGGGGGATAATTCTAACAATGGTATGGATGTGTGGTATTCTTATACGCTCCTCCGTCTTCAGATTGTAAAGGTGAGCGCTTGGATTATTTCGTTTTAAAGTCGCGACCCCCAAGGTGGCGGATGCTTCAACGCAGAAGGAACAATGCTGTTTGAGGGAAGTCTGTTTTGTATTCTTATTTAAGTGCTGTTCTTTTTTCTTCCGAACCCCTTCTTGATGGTAGCTAATTGTCGTCGTTATTGTCTCATTAGTTATTGTGAACCCTCTGATTAAGTGTGGCCTTATGACAACGCGCATTGAGTTGAGAAAAATCACTATTAACGGACCGAATCCTTCACGATTCGACGATTCCATAGCATTAAAGATTGTATTGGAAGTCTTTGAAAAAGCCCCTGTGGCACCCATTGATATCCGCTTCATCTGGTCACCCATTTGGGACTTTCCTGTGGATCAGGTCCTGGATGAGTTGGAGGTTGGCCCGCTAACAAGCCTAGGAAAGCATGAGTTTTTAATAGAAAGTGATCCACCGGATTTTCGAAAGATCCCTGACCCAACAGGACCCACAGCGCTGGTCATTTCGTTTTGTTACCTAGGGAGGGAATTTCTACACGTTGGCTATAACGTTATCGTATCGTGCAAAGGAGAGATCCCCGAGGTTTTTACATCGGCAGAGTGCTTAACTCGCCATCTAGGACGATGCTTTACAAAGCCCAAAAGCATTTTCTGGGATGCTGCTGACGACGAAGGCCACCAAGAGGATAAATCCATGAGTAACCTTGAGGAGCAAGCGTCGAAAAAAATTCGACAAGAAGAGGGCTAACCATTCAGTCAGTTCTATTCTGAGGCAGCGGTCGCGCATTGGTTAAGCTGTTTTGAGTTGAATACTGTGTTAATATGCTTAGCATAAGCAGAAACCATAGACTACTTAATATGGAAGTGCGTAATGTACTATCTTTTGTTTCCATATGGGTTTTATCGGTAAGCTGATTTGGGCTTCTCAAAACTAACAAAACCAATACGCTGACCTTTTTTTTCTCTTTCTTCTTATTCAATATCAGTCAAGTTAATTCAACAAACAAAGAACTAATTATAACGCTGTGAGACAATACCTCTTTCAATGGTGTGTTCACCGCTTGCTTTTTCTATCCTAATTCAGTATGGAATTAGCACTGCTGGTGTGTGATTATGTGGTTTGTGCGTGTATGGTATGCGTGTGGGTCTATTGGAGGGGGGGAGGGGGGTTATGATGCTAGCATGAATATTCTGCATGACCACCTTTCAGTTTCATAAAAGTGCATGCAGCCTGCTGATTGAATTTGGCTAAATCAAAAGAGGTGGTGACGCAATTCAGGTTCTAATTCTTCAACATTCATAAATCGTAATGTTGGGAGATTTGCTGCCTGAAGAGATTAATTTATTCTAAAGCCTTCAAGAGTTATCCGGAATCATTAAAGGGATTAAAAAAATTCAATGAGTTGCGTTCAGTCAAATGTGAGTGCTAGCATAACGAGTCATCTAAGTGAATCAAAATGTTTAGCGCATGTCTAAGAAAATTGAAACGAATAGTCCATTACATTTGGATTTTGGCATTTTAATGAAAAAAGCAATATTCGAATGCTACAGTGATATACGAGTTTCCTACACCATGATGTGGGTCGAAAGGTATTACCGAAAGGCAGGGAGGTGTGGGGAGGGTAAACATTAAGTCCATCGAGGAGACTCATAGTTCGGAAAAGTTCAATACCTTGGCAAGCAGTAACTAAGAAAGAATTAGGAATACAGATAAAAAAGTGGTAAATAATGGATAAAAGGTTAGATATCAAGATGGAAAGGGGAAAAACGATGTAAGGTAGCTTTTTATATTTGTGATAGGTTCTTCAAAGGTCCTTAACCCTCGGAGTCAAGGAAGAAGGGAGGAAAGGTCATATTTAGATGAAAGTGTGCTGTGAGAAACTAAAGTCTTTAATTTGGTTCGCATCTGCTTTACTCAATTGAGTGAGCCGCTGGTGAACCTTAGTAATAAGACAGAGCTTCTCATCAATTTTGGTCCTCATGGCTCCGTTTCTTTGGAGTGAAAATCAAAGACTATCAAACGGTAGCAGTTGCGCCAAAAAAA